GCTGTGCTGTGCTGTGCTGTGCTGTGCTGACGTGCAGCTGTCGTGCAGGAGAAGAGGAGCAAAGATTGCGAGCTCAGCCTGTCGTGCTTTCCACGAGGACCCTAACCAACCTTGAGCTCCTCCATATCTTGCCATCGTCGTCGTCGTCGTCGTCGTGATTGGGTAGCAGCCATGCGGTTCGCATCGATATCCACCGCACGCACCGCACGCACCGCCGCGTCGTCGTACGCCTCGCTCGTCGTCGCGGCTCTGCTGCTTCTCGTACTGGCTCCCACTGCTCGCTCCGCCGCCGCTGCCGCCGCCGCTGCCGCTTCCTCCTCGGACAAGGCCACACACGATGGCCTGCGCAAACTCACTGCAGCCAACTTTACGCTCACCAACCAGGGCGCATGGCTCATCGAGTTCTTCTCTCCCACCTGCATCCACTGCAAAAAGTTCGGCGCCACCTGGAACGAGCTCTCCCACAACAAGGACTCGCTCCGCACCCAGTATCCCCAGGCTCCCTTCACCCTCGCTCAGGTAGACTGCCTCGCTCAGTGGGACCTCTGCAAGGAGCAGGGCGTCACCTTCCTCCCGCGCCTCACCATCTACCAGGACGGCAAACAGCACTCCGAAGAGTACAAGGGCGACCGCAACTATCCCGAAATCTCGGCCTACATCGACAAGTTTGCCGCCGAGTACCGCAAGTCCAAGGGCGTCGCCGACGTAGCCCCCGTCGCTCAGCTAGATGCACCCAACAAAGCAGCCGATGCAGCCAACGCTACGGCAGCCAACGCTCCGGCAGCTACCGACAAGCCCGACTTTGCTGCTTCTACGCATGCACCGGCTCCCGTCAACTCGGCTCCCGTCAACTCGGCGACATCCTCCTCGTCAGCATCCTCCTCATCAGCATCCTCCTCTGCTGCCACTTCGCCCGCGGAAGCCATCAAGGAGGTGCTGCCCACTGGTCCCAACCCCAAGGGCGAGCTGCTCAGCTTCGGCTCGGCTCCCATCCAGACCAAAGAAGAGCTGCAAGCCTGGCTCGGCAAGGCGTCGGGTCAAGGTCCCACGTTTGTCAAGTTCTTTGCACCATGGTGTCCGCACTGCAAGGCCATGGCGGCCGCCTTCCAGCAGCTCAGCAGCTCCCTCAAGGGCCGCGTCAACGCCGTCCAGGTCGACTGCGAGGCCAACCGCGCGCTCTGCGCCAGCTACGACATCCGCGGCTACCCCGTGCTTCGCCTCTACGATCAGGGCCACGCCAAGGAGTACAACGGCGGCAGGAACCACGACGCCATGCTCAAGTGGGTGCTCAAGGCCATCTCCACCTCGGGCCTCAAGCCCGTCGCTTCGGCCTCGGACCTCGCCGCGATCGCAAAGGACAACGACGTGCTCTTCCTCTACCTCCACTCGCCGGGGACTTCCATGGAAGAGGTGCGCGCCGTCGAGGCCGCCAGTCAGATCCTCTTTGGCGGTCGTGCACCCATCTTTGTCTCGGACGAGCCGGCGCTGCTCGATCGCTATGCCAGCTCGCTTGCGCAGGACAAGGCCGTCTCCATCCCGGCCAAATCCGCGCTGCTTGTCTTCAAGGACCATTCGATCGCAGAACCCGTTGCGGTCATGCATCCGTCCAGCCTACGAAGCACCTCTTTCGCCGACGCCGAGTACAGCGACGAAGCCAAAGCGCAGATCTCGCACTTCCTCTCCAAGCAAAAGTACGCGCTAGTCACCGAACTCACAGCCGCCAACTTTGAGGAGACGGTGCGCAACCCGGAAGACGCACTGGTCGTGCTCGCGGCGCTTTCCGACTCCATCCACGGCGACGAGGTTGCCAGCACGGCCTCGGACGGCATTGCGCGCAAGGACGCCGAGATCGCCGCACTGCGTTCCGTCGCACTCGAGTGGAGGTTGAAGAAGGAGGCGTCGTCGTCGCGACAGGTGGTCTTTGCATGGATCGATGCGGACCGTTGGAAGTCGCCGCTGCGCAAGCTGTACGGCATCCAAGCCTCCGACTCTCCCTCGGCCGTGCTCGTTGACGGCAACAAGTCGCTGTACTACGAGCTGGCCCACTACGCCGACGCCAAGCCAGCTACATTCGAGCATCGGTGGATCGCCCCCACCAGCGTTTTCGCCGATATCGACCGCGTTCTTAGCGGCGTCGCTCCGGCCAAGTCGTCGCGCACACTCCTGCAGAAGTCCGTCAAGGGCGCAGAGGTGTACATGAACAGCTTGATCGACACAAGTGTTGACCACCCCGTCGCCGCCTTTGGCTTCTTGTTCTTCGTGCTCGGAGCGCTCTTCTTCTACCTTGGGCGCGCGAGAAAGAGCACGCCGTCGTCCCTGCCCATGTACTCCAAGGTATCCACGGTCAAGGCCGACTAGTTCATCGCTGTTTCCTGTGTAATTCTCTGTTAGTACGTCGCCGTTTCCTTTTTTTGCAAGCATGCATCGTAGTTCTATTCCTCACTGCCCTTCGCCGCTTGTGCCGCTCGGTATCAGCTTCCTGTTAAGAAGGCTATGGTGAGTAGGGCCAGCGATCGGGCAATCTCGAAAAATCGGGACCCGTAAAAAAGGGAGGCACGCCTCCACACGTCAAGAATGGCACTCACTCCACCAATCCGCTTCTCGTTCAACCACCACTTTATCGGCAAGGATGAGCTCGAACTCTGCATCCAGCGGCTCCTCGGGGCTCGTTCTGCATCACCTGGAGCTAAGTCGCTCGAATCGTATCCTTTTCCTGCTCGAGGAACTGCAGGTGCCATACGAGATCAAGCACTACAAGCGCGACCCTGTGACTCGTCTTGCAGGGGACGACCTGAAGCAGGTGCATCCGCTCGGACGGTCTCCCGTGCTCACGGATGGGGTGCTGACGATCATCGAGACGAACGCGATCGTCGCGCATCTGCTGACGCACTACTACGACCCGGCGCGCGTGGCGTTGGGGCCTGGGCTGGGCGAGAAGACGCAAGCGAGCGTAGACGTGGGCGGGTGGACCCAGTTCAGCGAGGCGTCGATCATGCTGCATGCCATCCCGCTGTTCTACGCGCTCAAGTCCGGTGCTTGCACCGAGGATGGATCGGCTGGCATCGAGCGTGCGTCCGCGCGCGGAATCAAGGCGGACTTGGCGTACGTCGAGGAGACGCTGCAGCATAACAAGGGTCAGCTCGTCAAGGGGTACGAGTTTACAGCTGCCGACTGCGCCATGTTGTACAGCGTCGACATGCTCGCGCACATTCTTGCCACCCGCACGCCCGGATGGCGTAAGAATCTCGGCCTTGAGATTGGCCCAGCCACACTCGCGTGGATGTCGCAATGCAAACGGCGCACTGCATTCCAGGCGGCCGTACGCAAAGAGGGGCACGAGGGTCAAGACTGGCTGTCCAGCTTCTTCGCCCGTCCACCTGCCCGAAAGAGCGTCTTCCGACCGTGCATCGACCTGCACGAGGGCGTAGTCAAGCAGATCGTCGGCGGCACGCTGAGCGACACGGACTCGACGCTGCGCACCAACTTTGTAGCCACGCACTCACCCTCTCATTTCGCCTCGCTCTACCGCGAGCACAACCTTACGGGCGGACACGTGATCAAGCTGGGTCCGCGCAACAACGAAGCTGCCGCCTCTGCGCTCTCCGCCTGGCCGCAAGGTCTCCACGTCGGAGGTGGAATCACGGGGGAGAATGCGCAGGAGTGGTTGGACAAGGGGGCGGAGAAGGTGATTGTGACGTCGTGGCTGTTTCCCTCGTGCCAATTCTCGCTGTCTCGGCTGGAGCAGCTGAGCGAGCGCGTGGGGAGGGAGCGGTTGGTGGTGGACGTCAGCTGTCGCAGGCGCGGCGATCGGTGGGTGGTGGCGATGAACCGCTGGCAGGACATGACGGACATGGAGGTGAACAAGGCCTCGCTCGATCTGCTCGCTGCCCACTGCTCCGAATTCCTCATCCATGCTGCCGACGTAGAGGGCTTGTGCCAAGGTATCGACCAAGAACTTGTCCAGAGTAAGTCCTCGCTTCAACCTCCGATCTTCAACCTGCCCACTGACACTCTTTCTTTGTGCTTTAGAGTTGGGCGAGTGGGTGACTATCCCGACCACGTACGCTGGAGGTGCACGTCACATTGGCGACCTCCAACTCGTCGACCGTCTGAGCAAGGGCAAGGTCGACCTCACTTTCGGCAGTGCGCTCGACATCTTTGGCGGTCAGGGCGTCACGCTCGACGAGCTTGTCGCCTGGAACCACGCCGCCACCAAGTAGACCCTTTGCAATCGCATACACTCAATCGCCAGCCCGAAGACGCGCCGCATACAATCATCGACTCCAAGAAGATCTCCGCGGAGGTATGGGTATTGTTAGATCTCGTTGGTGATCGACCGGCAGTGATGGCTGGACATCGCCGCGTCCGCGCAGCAAAGCATGGTTGGCGGTTGGCGGGGCCGATGTGGAAAGCCGATGCTGACGTCGGGATGCAACGGCGGCCGTCTGCGAGGCTTGAAGCCGCAAGAGATTGGCCGGTGCGGACCCTGGATTGTGCCCAACACTGTCGTCATGGAAGGCGCCCGCTTGCTGTCCGATCAGACCGGCGTGGGGGGTTGGGGGGAGGGGGCTTCGATCGCTGTCGCGGAGAGAGGGGGGGGGGGG